CAAAAAATTGGGATAGGGATATCCCATACTAAACCCCCTTATAATGAAGCCCCAATAAGGTAGGGATCTCCCTACAAAATGCTTATGCTTACGTCCCTTTGGGGGTTCCTTCTGAGCTGCCCAGCCCGAAACCCCAAGCTGCCACGACTTCGCCGGGGTGAAGGTCACTTTTTCGCGGGAGAGCGGCGGCACTAGCCCTTTCTTGGCTTGATGTTCTTCTTGGCCATTGCAGCCTGGAAGAGAGAACTTCCAGGAATCTGTGCGGGTGCTACCATAGGGCTTCAGATCAAGGGTTCTCAGGATTCTATAGGCCTGCAGAGGAACTGAATTGCTTGCTTGCAGTCCTAACTTCCCGCCTCCCTCTGTCGGGACACGATCTGGTTTTCGGGCATCCAGAACCGCTCCGGATTCCGCCTGCGCAAGGTTGGAAATGCGGGCTGAAACCGCCGCGGAAGAGATTCGCACATGACGTCGTTTGATGCGAGTCAAGGCCCACACCGCTTCTCATCTGCGTGAGGGTATCGCACGTACATGAGGTTGTGGAAAACTTGCCTCAATGGACACAGATGTCAAGCGGGCACACCTGGTCCCGCTCACTTCATAATCTTAGACCACGGGGCAGTTTCCGTTGCTCATGCTCAGAGAGGCTTCCTCAGCAATCAAAATCTCGAGAGATCGTTCAAGGCTCTAAGGCAAGCAGCAGGAAGCCGGCATCTGCCACACTGCTCTGCATCTCTGCAAGTCTCGGAAGATCTCTTTGCGGTAGCGGTTGTGAAACAGTAACCTGAAGAGCAGGAGCAAGGCTCTTTCGCTCAGCTGCGCACCCTTTCGCACGAGGTCTCTTCTCGAAATCAGGGTCCCTCTTCAAGAATCCCCCAAAGAACCGTCCGTTATTCCTATAATGAGGACCCTGAACCCTAAAGCCCAAACCCTCAACCCTAAACCCTCAAACCCCAAACCCTAAACCCCAAACCCTAAACCCCAAACGTTGGAGAAGCCCCAAAAGGACGAGTCTGAGTCCGGCACTCCTCGGGCACCCTCTCCGGCTTGGACGCGACCGCCTCGCAGCACAGCGCTGAGACTCCAAAACTCTCTTTCTTTGAGGACTTTTAGGGTTTAGGGTTGAGGGTTGAGGGTTCAGGGTTTAGGGTTTTTAATCTGAAGAAATTAGGGCTTAGGGTTTAGGGCTTAGGGTTTTTATTCTGAAGGTCTAGGGTTCAGGGCTTAGAGTTTGGGGCTTAGGGTTTCTGAAGGTTTAGGGTTTAGGGCTTAGGGGGTTAGAGTTTGGGGCTTAGGGTTTTATTCTGAGGGTTTAGTCTCCAAACCTCTTCTTTGAGGCTTTGGGGGGTCAGAGTTTGGGGCTTAAGGTTTACGGAATATTGAGGCAGTTCTCTACATTAGGGTGCTTTTTATAAGGGTGTCGTAGTGTGTTGGGAGCCTCCAAAAAGGGATCCCAATTTAGAGACCTACCCATAAACCAAAATCACGTTAAGGATGCCTCTACTCTATAGTTCTCAATATACTCTCTCGCATTGGAGGGTATACCCACTGCTCAATCTCCAGCTTCCCGACCTCGCTGTAGAGGTCCTCCGGAAGCTGCTGCAAGGCACGCCACCTCGGAGTCCCAATACCCTAAAACCTGATTACCCCCAAAGCCTAAACCCAAAGCCTCTGGGCCCTTAAACCCTACAGTAAACCCCTAAACTCTAAACCCTAAACCTCAAGCCCCAAACCCTAAAACCCTAAACCCCAAACCCTAAACCCTAAACCCAAAACCCTCTGGAGACCCCTAAACCCTAAACCCTAAACCTTAAGCCCAAAAACCCAAAACCCTCTTTTCAGACCCCAACTCCCTAAACCCCAAAACTCCAAAGCCCCGAACCCCGAAAAAACGAGGCCCAGACATCCTCTGCTCGGCGCGAGCCTCGTGGGCCTCAAGAGCCCGGGAGGCTAGGGCTTGAGGGGTTTAGGGCTTTTAGGGCTTTGTTGAGGGTTTAGGGGTTTAAGGGTTTAGGGGTTTTCTGAGGGTTTAGGTGGTTTAGGGGTTTTCTGGGTTTAGGGTTTGATGGTTTAGGGGTTTACGGGTTTAGGGTTTTAGGGGTTGAGGGTTTAGGGCTGAGGTTTAGGGTTTAGGGTTGAGGGTTTAGGGTTTAGGGTTGAGGGTTTTGGGGTTGAGGGTTGAGGGGTCTAGGGTTAGGGGTTCAGTTGGTTGGTGTTTAGCGTTTAAGGGTTTTTTAGGGGTTTACACTAGAGGTTTACGGGTTTACGGGTGAAGGGGGTTTAGGGTTGATTGTCTAGGGTTCAGGGTTGAGGGTTTAGGATTTAGGGCTCAGGGTTTCTAGAAGGGCTCCATAGGCTTGTAGAAGGTCTTATGGTGCCTAAATTGGCTTGCTGGGGTCCTCATAAGGGTCCAACGCGCCCGCGTCTGCCGATTTACATTTACCAGGTGTCCCCGAAGGTGCTCTGTAAGGGCTCTATATAAGGGGTCTAGGATCAAGGAACCCTAAACCCTAAACAATAAACCCTAGACCCGTAAACCCTAAACCCTAAACCGTCGAAAGTCTAGGGTCTACGGTTTGGAGAGAATGAAAAGGCGAGGCCTTGTACAGGTGCAGCGCCCTCTCGCACATCGTGTTGAACTCCGCTCGTGCGTCTTCGAATTCAACCTCACCAGGCGGCGCGACAAAGCCGAAACCCTGGGCTTATAAAGTTTAGGATTTAGGGTTTAGGGTTTTTTCGTCTATCCTAGAACCTAAACCCCAAAACCCTTCGCTTCAGTCTGTCCTGGAGAGAGTTTGGCTGGGAATCCGGCTTGGTCCTCCGTGGTCTCCTCGGTGCACGGCTTCAGGGCTTTCGGGGTTTAGGGTTTGGGGTTAGAGAGCTTTAGGGAACGGGGCTTTTAAGGGCTGTACAGGCTCAGGTTGTTTCATTCATAATTTCGAGCTGGAGGGAGAAGGGATTGGGATTCACAATTTTGCTTGCCTTGCGAACTGTGCAGCGGGATCTTGTTCGGAAGCCAGGTTCCGAATCAGACACCTGACAAAGGGGCCTCAATATTGAAAACCTGTCTTACGGCAAAGTGAGATGGGGACTCTCCGGGAGTAGAGTTCCTCAGACCTGCCCTGCCACTTCTACTGCGAGGCGCTCAACCCTGAACTCGAACCCGACGACCGAGACGTTCAAGCTCAGAACTGGCTCTCAAACCCAGGTTAAAACCTAAACTCTAAAGCCCTAATTAAACCCTAAGAACCATGGGATAAGCACAGCGCATCATCATAATCTTAATCGTAATCATGCAAGCACTAATGCTACGACTAAGTTCAAGTCTAATGCTAATGCTAACACTACTACTAGTATCAATACAACCGAGCACAAGTCGAGATACTAACACAAATGCTGACAAAGGTGCAAATGATGATGATAACACAGACACCTAAGCCCTGAACCCTCAAACCTATACTCCAAACCCTAAATCCTAAACCCCCAAACCCTAACAACCCTATACCCTAAACCCTCAACCCTGAAGACACTACCCTGAAGAACCCAAAGCAGGTCGCCTCCGGCTGGCGCGGAGAGAAGACCAGCTCAAGGAGGGCCTCGGGAAGGAGGGGAGGTTTAGGGTTTAGGGTTTAGGACTTTGGGGTTTAAAATTTAGGGTTTAGGATTTAGGGAGGGGAGGAGGGGGGGGGAGGGGGTTGAGGCTTTTGGGGTATTAGGGTTTAGGGTAGGGTTTTGAGGAGGCTTTTGGGGTAGTAGGGTTTTAGGGTTGAGGGCTTTAGGGTCTTAGGGTTTAGGGTTTTCTTTGGGGGTAGGCTGGGTTTAGGGCTGAAGGTTTAGGATTTTGGGCTTTGGAGTGGCAAAGAAACTTCGGGCCTGTTTTACGGACTTTCTGGCTGTTGGGCTTTTGGTTTTCGAGACTGTTGTTGCCAGAAGCGGAATTACTGCTGTCATGATGTCACGACCCCGTTAGTACCCGTACAGTATCACATCATGCAACAGTCTTATTGTTTACTACTGCTCTTACTCCTCCTCCTCCTCCTCCGCCTCCTCCTCCACCTCTTCCTCCTCCTCCTCCTACTACTACTGCTATCACTTCCACCATTACCCATTACCACGACCACACCATCTCCACCTCCTGCTGCTTCTCCTCACTCCCCATGGTGTTGCCACTGTTGCCATGATTGCCGTTACTATGAATTGTGAATGGTTCCTTGAGTGTTCGCCACCCTAAACCCTGACGTCCCATGGCCGGTGAAGCACTGCCATGATCGTATCAGAACTTCCAGCCTTGAACCGATTCTGGTTCTGGAAGAACTCGCGTGTCTCCTTCGTCAGCTCATACCTTATGAAGAGGTCAGTCACCAGGCTTCCCAGCTGTGTTCAGGCCACCTTTTCTGAGTGGGCAGCGGTATGCTATGAGCAAGCTGCACCTCCGCCCTTAGTGGGTGAGAGTTCGTGCCGAGCACGGCACCCATTCAAGCAACGCTCGGCAGCATGAGGTCATATCAATGCAGCACTTGCCGTTTTTCCCAAAGGCGAACCCGCAGCTGCGGCACGTACCTTGAAAGCGCGGTCGAACTACAGCCCTTGCACTATTGAGTGAGTTTTTCCGCACCGGCCTATGCTACCTCCATACCTACCCACTGCAGGTACCTACCTACCTGTCTGCCTACTTATCGAACTAGATTGTGCCTCCATGTCCACAGTACTGTAGCATCCATGTTACAGCGCTCAGTCGTCTGGCTGTCCGAAGCACAGCTCCTGGAAGGAGGACTTCAGCATGAAGGGTCTAGAGTAAGAGCTTAGAACGGCCTACGAAGCCTCTGCAATAGCTGCAAAAATCCCAGCGACTGCTCCTTTGCCGATGTTCCACGGCGCAGCTGGACATGGGCTGCTCGGAACTCCTGCCCCAAAAAGGGGGGCCACGCGACGGAGAGACCAAAACAAGCGCGTCGGCGAAGCAGAAGCAGAAGGAACTGCGGCGGAGCCGGGAGCCTCTCTCAAGCGCACCAACTGTCCCAGCTCCACCTCGCCGTTTTTTGCCGTCGCTTCAAAAACGCCGGGAGCTGCTCGGGAGCTAGGGCCCTGGCGTTTGCCACGTCTTTGCCTGCGCTCCCAACATCCGTGCCCGCGGAAAGTGCAGCTCAACGCTTGAAATTCCGCCTGGCTCGAAGGGGTTGTCCACGAAGTAGAACTGGCCAGAGTAGCTGGCAGAGCGCCATGCGGCAGCGGACGCACCGCTCCGAATGGCAATCACACCACCTTTGTACCTCAGCGATGACTCCTGCAATCCCCTGCGCACCTGACATGTCGAGCACACCGAAACTTCCTCATGTGCAAACAAGCTGCTCGGCCCCGTAGTACCGGAAAAAATCCAGCAACCAAGTTCCCAGGCTTTCGTTTGACGATGTTCTGAGAGATGCGAGCTTGGACTTTTCTTTCTCAATGAGCTCTCTGTTCGAAGAGAACCTGCAGTCGGTATCCATGACAGTGTGGCGCGGGTCGCCGTTCAGAACAGCGAGATCTTGCAGTGATGGCAGCACCCGCCTCCTGGAGGCTGACAACGGGTAAGGGTTTAGGGTTTAGGGCCGTTTAGGGTTTCGGGTTCCAACAAATCTTCATGAGGAATCCTCCGGTTATCGTTTCATGGACGGTTCATGGGTACGGTAGCCGAGGTATTGTATGTTGATGCTACTTGCTAGTAAACTCTACAACTCGAAACCCTAAGCCTAAGCCCTAAACCCTAAAACCGAAGCCCTAAACCCTATATTTGTTCCTTTCTTTCAGCCCCTCGACTTTATAAACTGCCCTTTGAGCTTTCGAGCTTCACTTCACAGCGCGCCCTCCTCTGCAGGAGGTGCACCGCCATCAGGGTGAGGGCAAAGGAAGACAGGGTTCCTGCGAGACGCTCGCACCACACCTACACCCGAACCCAGAAGCCTCCTGGCCCCAAGCCCCAAACCTTAAACCCTAAACTCTAAACCCTAAACCCTATAAACCCCAAACCCTAAACCTTAAACCCTAAACCCCAAACCCTTAAACCCTGTAGCCAGCCCAGAGAGCCTACAAAAAAGTGCCTTGGCTTCGGTCGTTGATCCCACGCTCAGAAGCCCAGGTCTTGATGACAACAAGCCTTGGGGCGATGCGAGGATTTAGAGCTTAGGGTTCAGTTTAGGGCTTTCTTTTTAATAAGAACCCTAAGCTAAAACCCTAAATAAATAAGTTTAGGGTTTGGGGTTTTAAGAGTCTTAGGGTTTAGCTTAGGGTTTAAAAAAAAAACCTAAACTAAACCCTAAATTCAAGAGCTTATGTAGGGTTTAAGAGTCTCAGGGTGTAGCTTAGGGGTTTTTAAAGAAACCTAAACTAACCCCTAACTTGAAAAGTTTAGGGTTTAAGAGGCTTAGGGTGTAGCTTAGGGTTTAGGGCTCAGTTTCGGGTTTTTTGGGGTCTCGGGATCCTCCTGAGCCCCCCCAATTGAAAATCCCAGAGAGGGGGTTTTAGGGTTTTAAGGCTTTAGGGTTTAAGGGTTTAGGGTTTGAGGGGTTTTCCGTTTAGGGTTTTAGGGCTTAGGGTTTTAGGGTTTTAGGCTTCAGGGGCTTAGTGCAAACTCCAAAACCCCCCGGGAAAACCCCCCAAACTCGAGGCTCCAAGCTCGAAGAGGATCCCCTTTCTCCTTCAAAGACAGGAGCACTAAACTTTACCCCCGACCCTAACACACTAACCCCAAATAACCTACCCTCTTGAGAACTTTTTGATAGAGAGTTCAGAATAAGGAGCCTGAAAAAAGGTATAGGTTCCTTAGGGTCCAGGGAAACCTTAAAACCCTAAAGCCTAAACCCTAAACCCTAAAACCCTAAACCCTAAACCCTAAAACCCCAAACCCAAAGGGCCCAGGGGCAACTGCCGCAGCAGTGGCTCCGCAAGCAGGTAGGCACTCACCAGCCTGGCACAGGAGCCGGGGGCTTCCAACAAGAAGGGGTTTAGGGCTTAGGGTTTTAGGGTTTAGGGGATTAGGGCTTTAAGGCTTTAAGGCTTTAGGGTTTAGGGTTTTAAGGCTTTAGGGTTTTAGGGTTTTAGGGTTTAAGGGTTTAGGGGGTATAATACGGTGAGTTCTAGGTGCCTTCTATCAGAATTCCGGTAACGGGTGCTATGAATTTCTGTAAAAAAAGGTCTCTAACAGAGTTCCATAACGGGTTCTATGAGGGTTTAGGGCTTAGGGATTGAGGGGTTTACGGATTTAGGGTTTAGGGTCAGGGATTTAGGGATTTAGTTGCAGGGCTCGTGCACTGGCCAGCCGCAGGGCGTGTGTAGAGTTCCCGGAAAAATTCTGAAAGCGTTCCTACGGTTGATGATATAAATCCTGCATTACCTTAAGGACCCTAAACTATTGGAATTGTGGTCTATTTTTTGTTATGGGCAATGCAGGAGTTATACCATCAACCTTGCCACAGAGCCCTAGCGTTCAGGGTTTTTCGGGTGTAGAGTTTTAGGTTTAGGCTCGGGAGAGTTCGGAGTTTCGGAATCAGATGCACCAAAAATCGTCAGATATGGACAAAACCTTACCTCATAACTCATCCCTAAACCCTAAACCCCCTAAACCCTAAACTCATAATCTCTCTTTCGCCTTTTGGGCTCTCGACTGCTCCGTGGCCTTCAGCTGCCTCTTGACTACGAGCGATGGCCAGAGCTGACCCTACATTCATCCCAGGGCTGCGGTTCCCCCAAGGCTACTTTTGGGGTTTAGGGTTTAGGGGGTTAGGGTTTAGGGGTTGAGGGGTTTAGGGGTTAGGGGCTTAGGGGCTTAGGGGCTTAGGGTTCAGGGGTTTAGGGTTTAGGCTACTTTAAGTTTTGTCCGCTGTGGCTCTCGGGCTTAGGGATTCCGACCTGGGCACCTTGAGTTCTCCACCGCCAGCAGGTTGTTCACGGTAATGTCAAAGCAAGGCAGCGCCTGGCACGGAAGAACGAGGCTTAAGGTTTTAGGGGGGGTGGATCTAGGGCCCTAAGGTTTAGGGTTTGGGAGTTTAGGGTTTAGGGTTAGAGGGGCAGGGGGCGTTTGAGCTTGAGGTTCTAACTCTCGACCGATGCCGATGTGCACAGAGTCTCCTGGGAAGCCACGCGGCTGGGCATCCAACGAAGCAGCGGCACTTTGGCCGCAAGTCGGTTCTCGGGCTTGTCTCCCGAAAACCTGATCAGCCAAGAGGGGCTTTGAGGCGTAGGGTTCCGTGTGATCATGGAGGTGCGGACACCATCCTAAACCCTAGACCCCTAAACCCTAAGCCCTAAACCCTGAACCCTAAACCGCGTGAACCGTGCACCGGGGCACGCATAGATAACGGATGCCACCCGGTGAAGAGCTTGCTTCGTCTCCGTGCGGCCAGGATGAAGTCCGGGCACCTGAAGCAGATCGGCAAACCTGCCCCTAATTGCAATGATAACAAGATCCGCCATAATCGCAATAAGAGCTAGAACACTGACCGTAGTACTAACAGCAGTACAGTAGTGATTCTATCCTGAATAGCAATGGTGAAGATCGAAACATCAATTCATCCGCAATACTGATAGTTTGTCAAATCCCTGGAAACAACAAGCACGCAGAGAGTTTGTTGCATCGGCCTTCAAGCTGAGGTCGACATCCCGACCAGGCAGCCAAAGACCTGTTGCTGCACTGCGGTAAGCATGACACTCATCAGAATGGCAGACAGATGCACAAAGCCTGTAGCAGCCGAACCGAATGTCACAAGGTCGGAACCAGGAATCTCAACCTGCAAGCAACGACTTTGAAAGCATTCTACAGTACCGCATCGACAGTTGGACTCTATTCTAAAGGCCTGTACACGACGTCGAAGTTCCTGCACCATCTCATCACGGAGAACCTCCTGCTCCTGCGAAAAGCAGGCACATCCGGAAGCAGCGGCGCAGGCGTCCGACGGCGCAGCAGCTTTAGACTCTGGGCCCTGGCCTTTGCTGGCAACAGCCCCGTGGCCAGGTTCTCCACCTGCTCCGTCAGCTGCCGGCTGCGGCCATGAGATCCACGGCCATCCTGCGGGTCGGAGGCGGAAGGAGCCTTTCAAAAGGAGACCTCGAAAGACGCTGCGCCGCGCCTGCCGGCGCGATGGCCGAGGGCCTGGCCGCCGGCAGAGGGTGGAACCAAGGGGGCAAGTCAGAGAAGGAGGAAGAGGGGAAGGACAACAACCTGCGAGAGACTGAGAGGAAGAGGGAGAGGAAGAGGGAGAGAGCCCTCAAAAAACCCTGAACCCTAAACCCTAAGCCCTAAACCCTAAACCCTAAACTCCAAAGAGCGGCAGGGCACTCACAGGAACCTGGACCGACCCTAGGACGGCCTTCCTCGGCCTCAGCTCGTGGCGATACGCGCTGATCCGAGCGTGGCGGCACCTTGCTGTTGTTCTCTTACCTCTATCCCTATCCATCTCATGGTTAACTATACGATAGACGACACTGTCACTACGATCTTGTACTACCGACCACTACGACTACGACGACTACGACTCCGACTATAGATGGGACTAGGACTGCCTGCAGGATTTAGGATTAAAGGCGGCAGCATTGACAGGAAAGACTTGCCGGTGGTGGTCTTCCCACTCTTCATGTGGAACTTTCTGCACTTCCCGTGAAGCTTGCAGCCTCTTCAGCTTTACGATAGATGAGGGGGTTTCCGAAAATAGGGGACCCTAATATAGTACCCTGAATAGTAGGACCCTTATTATAAGGACCCCAAAATAAGGTACCCCTACTTTTCGAAAAGTCCCATGAGTCTATGCCAAGCACCCATGCCAGGCCAGGAGATGACGATGACGCCCTGCCGACCTCCATCAGGGGCTCTTTGCAAGACTGAGCAGATGTGCCGGGCTTCTGTGGGACTTCGGCCTTACAGGGTTTAGGGCCGTTTAGGGTTTTAGGGTTTGGGGAGGGTTTTTGTTGTTGAAAAGCTTGACAGGATTCCAGAGATCGGGATTTCAGGGTTTACGGTTTAAGGTTTTAGACTCTTTGCGTGGAGCTTCATGGCTGTAGAGGGGTTGGAATTGCGCCTGGGGCTCAGGAGCAAGTTTAGGGGTGAAGAATCAGCGTTGAGAGTTCAAGATTCAGGGTAAAGGGTTGAAGGGTTTAGGGCGAGTACTGTTATTGTTGCTCTCATAACTCTTGTTCCTGCTACTATTGCCACTCTTGTTACTCTTCTTACTCTTCCAACTATTCTTAATCTGCTTACTCTACTACTACCATCACGATTCTTCCTCCTATTACCTCCTATTACTCTGCTGTAGTGCGATTCTTCTTCCTATTGCCCTAAACCCTAAACCCTAAACCCTAAGCCCTAAACCCGAAACCCGAAACCGTCTTATTACTCGGGTTTGGGACCATGATTTCAAGCCCAATGCAAAAGCCCAACCCCAAACCCGAAAACCCAGCACCCTCTTCTCATCAAACAAAACCTGAACCCCAATCCCTACCCCCCTTCATTTTCAAAGAAGGAACGGCCCAGCCCTAAACTCTAAACCCCCCCTCCTCCCCTCCAAAAAGGAAGGCCTAGCCGGCCGTCGGAGAGGGCTCGTGGCAAGGCCCGCTCAAAGCCGACTCCCGAAGGGATCTTCCCGCGCACGGCACCTCATTGTCTTTGGGCGTCTTCTATGTTTAGGGTTTAGGGTTTTAGGGTTTAGGGTTTGGGGTGGCTTATACCCATAGGCTCCCAAGTAGTTCCTTTTTGTGGTTCATGTTTAGAAGCCTACAAGGTTATCCCAAAAGGAACTACTTGGGAGCCTATGGGTAGCTTATAGGGTTGCTTTTCAACTCGAGCCCTAAACAGGAGACTAATTGGTTCAGACCCTACTATTTCGCAGATACACATAAGTCCTCGAAGATTATGACCGTTTTACTATTTGATCTAAACAATAGGTTCCGAATTGCGAAAGATGGTACGGTACCCTAATACACCCCAAACCCTAAAGCCCTAAATCCTAAGTACCCTGCTGAGAGCCCAAACTCTAGTTGGGAAGATCTGAAACATGACACTCCCATGCTCCAAACCAAGCCGCTCAAAACCGCTGTGGCAGATCATCGTAGCCCCATATGAAAAGTATTCAGCAAATCAACCCTCATTAGCAACCCAGTTGCCGATGCAAAAGGGTTGCTGTTCCGAAAGCTCTATAAATCCAAAAAACATTGAACACGTCGCAGTGCCCTTGACTCAGTAACCGACTGCACAGGTGATTGTGGGGCCTCCTTAGAATAGCTTGTTGCTGAAGAGGGGGGGGGGGGGGTACTCTAGCATAATTCAACAAAGGATCCTCAAGGAAAGAAAACTAGCACTTGCTCCGATCCCTCCTTTAAAAAACCCTATTACTTAAGCCCCTGAAACACGGAAACCCTTCTAAGAGCCCGAAAGAAGGAAACCTTGACGGATGGATCTCGATGATAGCTCCCTCACAGTCCCTTACTGTAGTAGTCCCTAGAACCCATGCCGCCATATTCCCCACATTTTTTTTTTAAGCCTGAGGTCTGGGCTGTAGTTCACGTCGTACTTGCCGGGCGCCGCGACGTCATCTTGCTCTTGCCCAGGCCGTCCTATTAGGGAACTGGGCTATACTCTGGGACGAAGGGATACTGTAAGGGGTACTAAGAAGGGAGACTGATAAGGAATACTACACCGGATACTATAAGGGGTGCTATAAGGGGTACTCTAAGGGATACTATAAGGAGAACTACACGCGTATGTACAGATACTCCACGGGACACACTATAAGGCGTACCATAACGGACTTAAGGCTGTAGGGTAGTTTGGGTTTAGGCTTTCGGGTTCCGCTTTCTGCCGCCACTCTTGGCAAGTTGAGTGTTGCTCCACTATTTTTCGAATCTTCCGCAGTGGATCGGGGATTCAGACTTCTCGGTTGCGTAGTTGAGTTTGAGTTAGCTTCAAGGTTTATACACATTTCACAGTCTAGTGTCGACTGGATGAATTCCGAATTCCTAAATCTACATCTCCAGCTGCTTTCTTGGAGGCTGTCAACACCGAAAGAGTATCAAGTCTCGACCCCAGCAGAAAAAGCAAGGCACTGAGCCACGAAATGATCTTTGTACTTTTGCGACACGGCGGGCCCAAAACCTTTCGTCTGAACATGCACAAGTCGCCACTCAGGGGCTTTCCCGCACAGCTTCTTTAACATGATTCAAGAGTTGTCGGCAGTACTTGGCCCACCTCGACCATCTTGACCTATGTAATATTGAGGCCTGAAAGAGGGTCTTGGGCATGCTACACTAAGCTTAGACTGCTTACGCAACCTTAAGGAAAACTACAACCCGCAAGGTGCCAAAGTCAGGTTCCACAATGTTCAGGTTCGTGGAGTTCGTTGACTTTCAGCCCAGGGGGCTCGGGATTTAGGACTAACCTCAAAACGCTTGAGGTTTCGCCGGGATTATGATGGTGTTTCTTCCGGTGTGCATTCACACCATACGACATTTCCTAGAGTCTCAGTACATATTGTCGGTCCTTATCTAATTATTCTCTGCAAACCTCATCTCAATGCTTCAAGACCAGAACCTCGACCCAGGGAGCCCAATACCCCTTAAAATAAGGAATATACCTTAAATTATATGGGCCATAATATTATGATTTAAGGTATATTCCTTAATTAAGGGGTATTGGGCTCTCTGGGGAGATGGCCTGGAACTTTGGCAAAGTCCCAGGCAGGGATCCGCTGCTTGTGATATGCCTCACAAGGTGCAGCTTACATTCTGATCAACTACTCTAGGTGGGGGCCTTAATAATTGGAATAGGGTTTTGGGGTATGCTATACTATAATTATAACAAGGAGCCCCCAAAATAGTACAGGTAGTTATTGAGGCCCCTTTTTCAACCATGGGCTAGGGCCTGCAACCCTGAATCTTATAGGCCCTAAGCCGAACTAACCATGGACCCTGGGCTGGGGTTTCCAGTTGCAACATCCTCCGCACAGACGCGCTCAACTACTACGATCCGGGCTGAAACTGAAGGTTAGAGACACACTAGCACCATGGATAAGCGCTGGACAACTGGACAGCATTGAAAGCGAGAGCTTCAAATAACAAGCATTGATTCTGCCAGTGCAGACTCAAAACAAAGAAAGAGTACCCAGAGTCCCAAGCCTTATATACCCAAGAACTGTTCCAGGAGCATTAAAGAATCACAAACCCGCACTGCACTGCTGCGGGAAGGTAAGTCGCACTCCAACAATATGAAAATGCAGATGTGGTTCCAGTGCCAGATCGTCAGCGGCTGATGATAATAATTAGAATAGGGTTCTGGGGGTTCCTTATTATAATTTATCGTATAATATACCCCAAAACCCTTTCTAATCATTAAGGCCCCTACATCTAAACCCTTATACTAGCCCTTTTAGATCCCTTTACGGAACCCTTTAAAGAAGGCCCCTACATCACCAGGGACAAACTTTCAAACAAAGGGACCTGGGGAGCTCATCGTCGCAACTCAATGTAACGCAAATCTCACGAAGCACAGCTCCGGTGTGGTAGAATAGAACTCCGATCTAATGTGGGTTTAGGGTTTAGGGTTTGGGGTTTAGGGTTTAGGGTCTAGGGGTTAGGGTGTAGGGTTTGGGGTTTATGGTTTGGGGTTTAGGGTGACATGGTCATGTCAGGCTGCGAAATGCTGAACCCCCTGCCCCAGAAACGTGACCCAGAGGTTGAACCACAGGAAGCCGAAAGACCCTTGAGACTGACATTAGAAGCATGTCACAGAGCCTTCTAGCTGGGACTGAACTGTGAATATCAGGCATCTCCTGCGGGAGCAGAATCAGACCACACTACCTCAGTCCGAATCAGCAACACGCAAATCCTGTATCCTAAACCG